AACTTAATTCAAACTGCTTTGGTTTTGGTGACAAATTATCCGCAGCAAAGACAGCATATCGTATTTCTTCTAAAAAACCTATTTCTTCGTGTAATTGACACTGACAACACGATATTCTTAATCTTAAATTTTTAATTTTTCATATTTTTGTACAAAACTGCAAAATAGTTGAAAGATTCGTACTTTTAACTATACAACAATAAATTTCCGAAATATATACTGTATGTAGCCTATATTATTTTGCATTTTGTGAGCTTTGAATTAATGTAAAATTTGACTTGAAACTTTTCGTAAAATGTTTTGAAATGTTCATTCAACTATAGTTGATTTGCCGATAAACTAATAATAAAACATAATAATTTACAAATAAAACAAATTGTTAGGTAATTTCAGTTCATAATACATCAATAACCACATAATACATCAATAACCAACAAGTTCGTTAATACATCAATAACCACACGGGCTTGTTCATATTGCATATAGTTGTGAAATATGAACAAACATTGTGGATTTTGTGAGGATTCAATGGATCAAGCTAGCTAGCATCAGTTAAAAATATACGTTTATGTAGCTATCTAAACGCAAGACATTTGTCCAATCGAAATGAAACGTAGCCTATTATGTAATGGCATTATTTTACAACAGGTACACCGTAGCCAACATAAATAAGCTGAAATTTTTTTTTTAATCCTAGTGCATTTTTGATATTATTACACATATTATTAGAAGTAACATTGCTGCGCCATTCGTTTAGAATATCACGGAAAAGAAAGACGAACCAGGAATAAGTGGTGAACAAAAAACTGAAGGTAAATTAAAACCAATTGATATGATTTGTTTTGTTTCTTTTTCTCGGTTCGTTTAATTTCTGTTTGTAACGAGCCGTAGTAGTAATATAGGGGCGGATCGACCATTTTAGGGATACGTAAGGTTGACTAGTTAAAAGCCGTATGTCGATGACGAATTTATCAAGTGTGGAATACCATTATGAATTGGTACAACCTCCAATGAATACGATCCGTAAAGGTTAATAGTTAACCTGCACCGTAGCACGAGAACGAACGAATAGCCTCATTAACTGAACGGCAGAGTCGTAGTAATTGGTATGATAGACGTTTCCTATTGGCTGTGAGATGAATTCATTATAATACTCGTAAACTTTCGTTTGTTGTTTACACTATTAAAGTGCCTATATCACTTGTGAGACATTTATGGATTTGAAAAGAGCGTAAAAATTAGTTAATAACTTCAAAAGTTGTTTTTTTTATTTAGTGCAATAATTTCGAAGATACAGGCCTCTAAACTACGTACAGTTCCTGAGTCTCAGGCTCCTGGGGTCTAAACACGGCTATTGAATTAACCTTTTTCGAAACTGTCCATTGTCAATAGGAGCCTGGGACTGAGGAACTGTAGATATAGTTTAGAGGCCTGTATCTTCGAAATTACTGCACTAAATCAAAAAAATCTTTTGAACTTTATTAACTAACTTTTTACGCTCTTTTCGAATCCATAAAGGTCCCACAAGTGATATAGGCACTTTAAATCTATCAAGCCAGGGTAAGGGAGTAATGCAATCATTACAGCAATAAATCACATACGTTGGTCATTGCTGTTTAGCAGTTTACAGCGGTAGAAAGAGCAGTACATACAGTGTACCCGCGACGCTGAACACAAACTATAAGCTATAAACAAGTTAGCAAGAGATCCTTCTGTGCATATCAGCATACGTCTATTCGACAGCCTGTGAATATTCCAGAATAACTTGCAGGCCTAGTGCAAGCGTTTCCCGTGTTTCAAGTGATACCAGTACTGCTTTGGTAAAGCTACAAGAAATTGCTCTAAAACGTAAGCAGGGGTGGAAAAAATAATTTATTTTCCATACTTATCTCTATATTCATTCACATTAATACTTACATTATCTCTATGTACAAGAACTGTTAAAATCACACCTATAAGTTTTCAGTTTCTATTTGTGCATATCAGCATACGTCTACACTTCAGCCTGTGAATATTCCAGAATAACTTGCAGGCCTAGTGCAAGCGTGTCCCGTGTTTCAACGTTTGAAATATGCCTATATAACTTGTATAAGTTCAGCTTTGTAAACGTTAACTATTCTGCCCAAATATATTAATTTCCGATTCAAGACACTATTCCATATTCTCTAAAATATTCAAATTCTCCCCTAGCTGCATCGGCAACAACACTAAGAGTATATGTAAGTAGCTAATAAAGCATAGATGAATGCGTGGCAAATATTCGGTCAATCATATCAAATAACTTAATTTAAAGTGCCTATATCACTTGTGGGACCTTTATGGATTCGAAAAGAGCGTAACAAGTTAGATAATAAGTTCGAAAGATTTTTTTTTATTTAGTGCAGTAATTTCGAAGATACAGGCCTCTAAACTATCTACAGTTCCTCAGTCCCAGGCTCCTATTGACAATGGACAGTTTCGAAAAAGGCTAAATTCAATAGCCTTGTTTAAACCCCAGGAGCCTGGGATTCAGGAACTGTAGGCAGTTTAGAGGCCTGTATCTTCGAAATTATTGCACTAAATAAAAAAAAAGCTTTTGAACTTATTAACTAACTTTTTACGCTCTTTGCAAATCCATAAATGTCTCACAAGTGATATAGGCACTTTAACGTTTTGGGGGTAGTGCACGGAAAACTCACTGCAGTTGATAGGTGTTGTTAAAAAGCTCTTGCATGGGAAATACTTCAATTTGAATTGATGCTTGTCATGACTTGAGTTTAGAAAATAAATTAACAAGCTAGCTAAATTTCGAGTATTCCCAGTAGGTGTCAGCTTGTATGACACAATAATGACACATGTACAGTATATTGTACATTGATACATGATATTTTATATGGTTTATGGACAACCAAATGGAGGTCCCGAATCTCAGTTTTATCGGTATGATGTAGTTAAATAATGTCTTCAACGCTTTCTTCGTGATATATTTGCCAGTAATTAACGCATCAATGGAAGAGTCGGTCACTGTAATTGAGAGAAACTACGCTTCAGTAAACTCATCACTTGCCATGCACCGTTGGACAGATTTTTCGTGCGTCCTACGACCTGTTTGTTTTAACAGCAAGAGCTGAAAGAGTTACAGTAGCATACATGCAGCTCCGGCACGTTGTCGGCCATGTTCATAAAACGTTCATCTCGCGCGATGTCATTTACAAGTCTTATAACAATATCCCAAACTGGACCTGATTTCGTTTATATTCTTCATTTATGAATCAATGCGTCTGCCTCGTCTCGGGGTCATGCTTTATTTTTTTGTTCTGAACAATGCTATATTTGTATTAGCTATAGCAATGGGGTCAATTTTTTTAGTACAAATAACAGCGTGTACATCTTGACCAAACTTTATATTTTTGTTCCCTTTGGGCTTTTTAATTTGTAAAAAAATTGTCATGACTCATGGTCATGCAAATTAACTCTTGTTTATTAATTACATATTCGTTCGCTCTCGCTTTTACTCGTCCGATACGTACGAGATTAATTATGCGATCCAATCAGATTTCAGCGTTTGACGATGCAAATGTTTGCATACCTGCATATTCGTTCGTTCTCATGCTTCGGTGCAGGTTAAAGCACGGCGCAAACTGGAGCTATGTAGCAAAATGTATTCGTGACTGATTGCGTAAGGAGAAAACTCTAGTGTGCGGTGCACTTTTGTAAGTTTTTCGTCACTCATGATGCGTAAAACAAATATCCAACGTGTTGAATATTTTTTGTTACGAATGAACATTTCCTCCACGTGTGCGCGCTCGAAAAGCTATCACCTTTCATTATAAATCGAATAGGCATGCGTAGTAAAACATGAGACAAAAGGAAAATAATTAATGAGGAATATTCATCCCCGAGCCGACGGCGCGAAGCGCCGTGCGAGGGTACTAATTCCCCCCGGCTATTTACACCCGGGGAAACGAAAGCATTAGCGAAGTCTAAAGTTCATCAAATATCGCGGGCGTGGCTCACCAACGAAGTTTCGGTGGGTGGTCATCCTCACTGATCTCAAAATATGTGGCGGACTGTCATGAATAGCGAAAACTGATTGGTCCAATTTAAAGTTTGCATTATAACGACTGCATGACGACAGCTAAATAGCAAACATTTCTTGATTTGATGATTGATAAATTTCTTGCAAATATCACAAATATATTTCGTTTTCGCTCGCATTTTCGCAAGATTTTGTAAATTTCAAGAAAGAAACAGCGAAAGAATCGGCTAAAAGAAGTGAGCCAACGTTAACGAAGGTAACTTTGTTTTAAAAATTGATTTTATAATGGATTTAATTTAAAACCCGACGGCCTTTGCATATATGAAACAACTAAACAAGACAGCATATTATTTCAGTGTATCTTTAGTAATATTGATTCCCTTTTTTATGATATTGAATTTTTTAAATAAAAAAGAAAGCAGAGTTATTTGCAAGCGAGAATTCGAAGTCATTTTATTGCAAACTCAAAGTTTATCGATAAATCCATTTTAAAAGTCAGTTTAGTTTTATAAAGAACACTAGTGACTTTAAAACGTTTTGCGAAGCGTTTGTGGTTGAATTTTACCTTAAATTGAGGCTTATATTACGTATAATAACATACCTAACATATATATATGTTGGCAAATTAATAATTTTGTAATTAAAAGTGATATTTTTTAGGCGATTTTTCATTTGTAAGAATATTCTTAAAAAATTATCGTGTTACCATGACAACTACTTCAGATACTTCATGTTCGGAAAATACAATGGTTTTGTCTGTTTGTCAGCAAGGTGAGGGTTTCTGCATGCATGTATTTTCTAGTATGTTGCTACTCAAGAATCACATTCCTCATTAATTATTTTCCTTTTGTCTTGTGTTTTATTACGCATGCCTATTCGATCTACAATGAAAGGTGGTAGCTTTTCGAGCGCATACACGTGGTGGAAATGTTCATTCGTGACAAATAATATTCAACACGTTGGATATTTGTCTTAGGCCTGTTTCATACGTCGAATTTTGGCCACGTCGAATGCAATTCAAACAATAGATAATGAGATTATAATCCTCAATAAGCTTCATTATCTATTGTTCAAATTGCATTCGACGCGACCGAAATTCGACGTATAAAACGGGGCTTACTCACGAGTGACGAAAATCTTACAAAAGTGCACCGCACACTAAAGTTTTCTCCTTACGCAATCGGTCACGAATGATATTTTGCTTAGCACATAGAACAAGCCACTATGTAACATAGACTTTATTGTATCTGACTCGCCAACTAAAGTAGCTCCTTCCTTTTAATTATAAGTGCTCACTTTATTATACCACTATAACGTTTAAGCCTGCATGGATGTCTTTTGTAGTCGTGGTGGTAACAGTCGTGACTAAGTCTTGTTCGGAGGTGCGAAATAGTTTGAACCCTTGCCGTACATGTTTTTTGTGTTCAACTTGATGCAAAACATTCTGTCATAATCGAATATAGTAACCATTGGCCATTTCGATATGGTCACCACTGTTAAATAGACCTGTCTGGTAATTACGTCACAACTAACTCTGTTTTCAACTTAGGACCACCTTAAATGGAATATATTTTAAGTTTGTTTCTCACGGGCTATGGTCAGTTTCAATCATTGTCTGAATGTCATATTACCCGGCTCGAAAATATTTTACAGACATTTCAATTGTCTCGATTAATTGATGAGCCTACGCGAATCACCAATGAAACGTCATCCTTAATTGATTTATTTCTAACAAACAACATAGAGAAAACTTTATATAATCATTCTGTTGTATACTACATTAAAAAGGATAAAAAATTATTTAAAGAATTAGTATTCGTCCATGAGATAAAATTGTTTTTGTTTATCCGTCCATAAAAACACGACCTGAAGTACGGGTTAAATTACATTCAATTCAATTCAATTCAAAAGTCTTTTTATTAGATCAAAAGATAAAAGTACATATCTATGTTACAAGTAAATGTTAAGAATACATTAGTAAAGTTTACATCATATGAATAGGTTATAGTTAAAAATTCATCTATTTGCAAACGACAATTTAAAACGTTCCGTGTTCACTCTTGGATACTGAATAAACTCTGTCCTCAAAGAGTAGCTGGTGGATTTTTTTCTTGGTATCAAGTCGACTATGGCACTCTTCTGATTTACAGAAGCTTTAAAAATATTTCTGTCCTGTATTTCTAAAAGATATCTAATATTTACAGGTTCTGATATATACTTTCGCTTAAAACATCTGTCAAGAGACCGTTGTAGAGTACTGAGTTCGGCTGGAGAAGAACCGTACACGGACAGGCCAAACGTTATAGTAGATATTACTAGGGTCTTAAATAGATAATCTATCTCACATTGGCTATAGCCTGCTGCCCTGAGTGTTCGTATGACGAACAAGCATTTGTTTGCTTTGACAAATTTACCTCGCAGATGACTGGTGAACTTGAGATTGTCTTGAAAAGTAGTACCAAAAAATGGGAAGTTTGCATTGGGATATATTATAAACATTGTCGAGTTGATCATTATATCCCTTCTTCCGGATGATAAGCTCTTTACATTAACCAGGGTTACAATCATAAAATTATGGTCAGACCATCTCAGGAATTGTCCAACTGTATCTGTTGATGTATCAGGACCGTCACTCCAAACTGGCACTATTATATTTGAATCGTCCGCATATTTAAAAAGAGCGTGCTCGCCGTCTATGTCCACCTCTAAATCATTTAAGAAAATATTAAAAAGGTAGGGGCCACTTACGCTCCCCTGTTTTGTACCCTTATCAACATCCATCCATTCTCCACAAAAATCGTTACAAACGACTCTTGGCTTTCTATTCTTTAGAAAATTTAAATACCAATTTATGATATTAGGGTTGAGTGGCACATTTTTTAACTTTTCCGAGAGGAGTGAATGTTTCACGGAGTCGGAAGCCTTGAGAAAATCCATAGAAAACATTCTAACTGCTTTGCAGTCCGCTTTATCTAAGAAGCTGAGTACTTTGTTCTTAATAATCAAGAGAGCACTTTGTACAACTTCCCCCCTGCCTGTACGCAAATTGCGTTGGGGATAAAATTTTCTCAACTGTCGACTTGACCTGACTATTATAAACGAGCTTTTCGAAGGTCCTCGCAATTACAGGTGTAATATTTATTCCACGAAAGTTACCATTTTCCTTTGGTAAATCAACCTTTGCAAGAGGGTTAATATTCGCTCTTTTCCATGAATCTGGACAAGTATGTGATGAAAGGGACAAATTCCAGACGTTAGTTATATCTTCGGTTAGAATTTCAGCATGATCACTCCAAACCCAATAGGGAATATAATCGGGACCTGTACGTGCTGTCCTCTTTATTATTTTCAAGGCATTCCATACCAGCTGTTCCGTGAAGCTAGGAATGTCTACTTCATCACCAATAAATGAGAGCGTCGGTTCGACATAACTATCATCGTGGCAGAGTTGGCCAAAATAGCGATTTACTCTTGCAAGTGATGCATCCAAAGTAACTCTTGATGACGATGCATTTCGTTGAGAAATATCATTCGTCTCTCTCCACCAAGTTCTACTTCCCACCAAGGCCCTAAAATTTATTCTGTTTAGACAAATGACATCAGAAATCCTTTTGTTAATTAAACTGAGTCTAACCTTTTGCGACCGAGCAATGCTGGATTTAGCTTTTAGAAAAGATTTAATTACAGGACTCATCCAGTAAGGGTCACGTGACGAAATTGAAACTGTTTTTGTGGGCATACATTTATTCATATGATCCATAATCTTACGTTCAAGACAATTCACAGCGTCATTTACATTCGTGGTCTGCGATACATCCTCCCAATCTTCTTCTGCTAAAACTTTGTGGAAATCTTCCTTTCGATGCTTTCTACAATCGCGAAATTCAACCTTTCGGCGCATAGGTTTTAGTTTCGTTCCTGCTGGTAAAATAACCCCTATGTGGTCTGTTTAAGTTAACATATGGAAAAGATAACATTTTGAGAACAAATCTATTCTATTTGTAAGGCAGTTATCCAAACATGCGTTACCCCTTGTTGAAAAGTCGACCATTGCATCCCATCCTGATAGTTCCTCAAGGTATTTTATGTCTAAGCTGTTCAAATCCCCTCCCCAAACAATTACAGTGTCTGGATATTTGTCCAGAACGTCGTCAGAAATATTTATCAAATAATCCAATAAGTCGCTCTCCAGATCATTGTGCTTAGGTGGGTGATAAAGGCCATACATCAACATGCGGTTTCCTGTAGGTAACAGAAGTGTGACACCAAAAAGTTCGTACAAACTGGATCGATAAATATCAATAACTTTTAAGTTGTTCCAAACATATATTGCTACTCCTTCTTTTGCTCTCATCTGTGTAATTCTAACAAGAATAGCTAAGTTCTTTTTCTTATCATCCCATGAACAAATTCTAGGTAATTCAACCAATCTTTCTGATTTTGTTGTGGTTGATGTTTGGGCTGGAAATTTTGATAGGACTGGAAATTCTGATGAGGACCATGATTCTGATGGGGCCGGTAATTTTGATCGTATGGAAGGTTTTGGTAAGGGGGTGATATGGGTGAGGCCGATGATTTAAACGGCGCCGTCGAAAATTTGTCAGGTGAGCGGAATGGAGTGATGTCTGATGGTTCCCTTCACTCACAGCGTCTAGTGGAATCCGATCGGTGATTTCAGTTATGCCACGTTGGGATTGAGTATTAATTTGCCGTTTTGCATAATAGCTATGCCTGTATCGCTTCGAGTAAACCTACTTCTTATTGGGCAGGATTCCTGGCTTCCGGCAACGGATTATCCCAGAACCTCACGTTTCTTCCCGAGGATGATGGTGTTTTAACATCGAGTGAGGGATGTTAAACGGTGTCGTCTTCCTGGATTTAAAGAAAGCTTTTGACACCGTTGATCATCTTATTCTTGTGACTAAATTAGAATATTTAGGATTGGAAAAATATAGCCGTTGATTGGTTTCGATCTTATCTGACGACAGGTACCAAAAATGCTTTGTCAATCGGAGTTCGTCAGATGAGATTAAAATTACTTGTGGTATTCCTCAGGACTCGATATACTTGGACCTCTACTCTTTCTTGTATACATCAACGATTTGTCATCTTGCTTTGATCGCGGCACTGCACGAATGTATGCTGACGATACAAATTTGTTCTTCTCTGCATGTTTTCCTGTTGAACTTCAACGTCAAATGGAACGTGAATTAAGAAAACTTGAATTATCGCTTGGAGCTAATAAGAACTCGGCAAAAGATTGCTTCATTGATCAATGATGTTACATCAGGGACGCCGGAACGATGTGAAGGCAAGGGGGGCAGATTTTCGTAAAAGGGCACTTTTGTATTGATATATGCTAAGAGATGTGTGCAAAATATCGGGAGTCGAACTTCGCCTAATCATGTTTTCTATTTATTGGATGATAGGGGTGCGAGGGGGTTCTCCGCCAGGCGATTGTGCTATTCTTGAAGCTCGATGCCTGCATTTCTTGCGTTTTCTGAAGCAAATTTGTAAAAGAATTGCACTAACATTTCTGACTATTTGCTATTTCACCAAGGCAATCCTTTAAATTGAAAGGGCACCTTTGCCCCCCTTGCCTCTCCTGGTAAAGGGCAAGGGGGGAAGCTGCCCCTCCTGCCCTCCAGTTCCGGCGTCCCTGTGTTACACTCTCTATTTTAGGTATTTCACCTAGTAAATAAGATATGTAAAATGCTTTGGAGTTACAGTTGATGGAAATTTGACGTGCAAGAAACGTGTTGGCAATGTTATTAAAAAGGTCTCAATTGGCATGGGTTTATTACGTAGAACAAGGAATTTTTTGACAGAAAAATAACTCATTTATTTACTATATATCACTCAATTATTGAGCACCACTTTGATTACTGTTGCATTGTTTGGGACTCTATGAAAAATACACTGGCAAATAGAATACAAAAATTGCAAAACCGGGCTGTTCGTATCAATAGCCAGGCCGATTATTGTGTAAGTTCTACTGACCTGCTCGAAAAGTTTGGATTACCAACCCTAGTTGAGAGAAGGAAACGGTTTAAAATATCCATGTTGTTTAAAATCTTGAACAATAATGCTCCCCTTGTTTGAAGGGCTATTTAGGTATAATGACGGAGCTCAATCCTTTGCGCTACGTAATGCGAATTTAAATTTGTCACTGCCATCAGTTAAAACAGAATTTATTAACAAATCTTTTTTTTTTTTGCTGGCTCAAAGGTTTCGAACACTTTGCCAAATGACCTTAAGCACAGGGGGCAGAGGAACGATCGTGTTTTGTTTTACTTTAAATAAACAATCGAATGACTGACCTTGTTATCTAAATATCATCTTTTGCAATTAATTGAATTCATCCATCAATTAATTCCACTTAATTCAAGATAGAAAAACATCACACATGTATATTAAGTTTATATATCTTCAAATTCGAAGTTTTGTTTTGGAACTCGTGTATAACCGCAACCCACTACACTGCAGGCTTGCATTGCCCGAATCACAAACGAAGTTTGCTTCGGGAAACGATGTGCACCCGAGGGAGGGACGAAAGAAAATTGAGAAAGGGAAGAAACTTACAATATTGCATCGTTGCATGTGCACCGCAACAACTAGTGACGGAAGTGACGTACAGGAAGTGATTCCACTTAAATTCCGTTGCTAATTATATTCTGTTTTTTAAAAAACAACAGGTGTGGAGGGAAATTTAAATATTTATATTGTAGAATGGACAGATCTATTCTTAAACGACACGCGTCCCATATAGAAATAAACAATAAATTTAATAAAAAACCGAAGTTGTACAACAGAGAAAAACATGTTATTGTTTCAAATTGGTAAGATGTTTGAAAATAACTGAACACTATAATATTAATTTAAACCAGTATAAAAACGTATTTCTAAATATATACTAGCTAAATATATGCTATTAATTTGATATACCTTAATATAGTATGTTTCTCATATATAATAACATTTCATACCTTCGCTACTTTAAATAAAACCACTTCCTGTTATGCGCAATTCAACTCTTTCGTTACTTCCGTCACTAGTTGTTGCGGTGCACATCATACGAAAATAGCGAAATATATACCAGCATTTTATTCGTTATTTTCGTAGGTTTAACTACTATTTTCCCAGATTTCTTTCGTTAAATATTGAGACTATATCCTTTCTATGTCGTGTGCATAATATGGTGTGTTTCTGTAGAATTTCAAGCGAATTATGACGTTTCGAAAATGATGTCCGAATTCTAAATTTGGAAGTTTCGTCCCTTTCATTATATATAGCTTGTAAACAATCTAGCGTAAGCGTGCGCGCCCGCAGTAATTTGGCGTGAGGTCCACGTGCAAGTTATATTACTTCATTTAACTTCAACCAATATAATATAGTAGTTATTACCTCCGCCAGGAGGTTATGTAATCATCTGGGTTTGTATGTGTGTGTGTGTGTGTGTGTGTGTGTGTGTGTGTGTGTATGTGTGTGTGTATGTGTGTGTGTGTGTATGTGTGTGTGTTTGTCTGTGAGCACGATAACTCAAGAAATACCAAACATATCCGTACGAAATTTTGTGAGTGCATTTCCCATCGGCCAAGGAAGAACTGATTAAAATTTGGTTAAATTTGGTTAAAAATTGAACGAGAAAAGAACAAACGTTTGTCTTGCTTTTCCCGGTCAATTAAAAAAACTTACTGAATGCGTAATTAGGACGTGTTTAATTATGCACGCAGTACTAAGCCTCATTAAGCTCCAGCCTTCATTATCTATTGTCTTAGTTGCATTTCACACGACCGAAATTCAATGGGGGCGGAGGTATGCAGTCTCTGAGTGCCCTCTAGTTTAATGATATTTTTGCCTTTTTTTGCTGCAAAAAAATTATTTTTTAAATAACAAGGTCAGTTCCTCAGCCCCCTGTGCCTTAAGATAGAAACATCTTTAACAAAATTTAAAGATAAATTAGCTACACATAAACTCTCTGTTCTCTAATATCAATAATTGACATAATTAAATGGCACGCCTTACGGGAAGAACAAATATTATGTAAATATGTATCTGTAAATATGTTTCTTTTTTATGTAATTACCTTCTTGATATAAATTTTTAATAATAATATTAGGTAATAATATTAGTAACTAGAGGGCACTCAGAGACTGCATACCTCCGCCTACGCGCAAAATATTGAAGTAATCTATTGTTATTAGAATTTGAATGGCTGGTGCATATATTATGCACGTCCTAATTACGCATTCAGTATAAAGTTTTATTTAATTGACCGGGAAAAGCAAGACAAACTTTTGTTATTTCTCATTCAATTTTTAACCAAATTCAACCAAATTTTAATCAGTTCTTCCTTAGCCGATGGGAAATGCACTCACAAAATTTCGTACGGATATGTTTGGTATTTCTTGAGTTATCGTGCTCACAGACAAACACACACACATACACACACACACACATACACACACACATACACACACACATACACACACACATACACACACACATACAAACCCAGATGATTACATAACCTCCTGGCGGAGGTAACAAACCCAGATGATTACATAACCTCCTGGCGGAGGTAATTACCTCCGCCAGGAGGTTATGTAATCATCTGGGTTTGTTACCTCCGCCAGGAGGTTATGTAATCATCTGGGTTTGTATGTGTGTGTGTGTGTATGTGTGTGTGTGTTTGTCTGTGAGCACGATAACTCAAGAAATACTAAACATATTCATACGAATTTTTTTGAATGCATTTCCCATCGGCTAAGGAAGAAGTGAGTAAAATTTGGTTGAATTTGGTTAAAAATTGAAGGAGAAATTAACAAAATTTTGTCTTGCTTTTCTCGGTCAATTAAAAAAAAAACTCACTGAATGCGTAATTAGGACGTGTATAATGTATGCACGCAGTACTAAGAAGACAATGAGATGATAAACCTCATTAACCTTCAGCCCTAATTATCTATTGTCTTAGTTGCATTTCACACGACCGTAATTTAACGTTTACAAGGACTAACACTTACAAGGTTATATGTACAAGTGGATGAGACATGAAACTTAATCCTATTTACAAAGCACGCGATTTAATAAACATGTTATATGATAAGCTGACAGGACGCGGAAAGATTAACACACCGCGGTAAATTAAATATCTCGCTTTTAAATGTTACTTATAAGGATTTTTTTATTATGCCTACATGCTGATACTAACTCATTACGTTTGTTTAAAGTGGCCATTTTGGGCTTACAAATAATAAAGTATTTCTCACATAAACACAAATTACATCTATTTGAAGCACAGTTATAAGGCTTAGCTCGTTCCAATAGTTTCCATTTGATTGTATAATGGATGTTTCGATTTTTCAATTCCCACACATATTTGCTAAGTTGAGTAGCGTTCCGTCTGTCAAAAAAGTTAAATGATGCTTTATGGTTCGAAAGTTTTTTTTTGAACGAGTTTTCAGTAACGCCGACATATGTTTAGGGAGGTCTATTGGTAGTTTTGTCCTTAGTAGTGTCTGTGGCAACCGATTCAGTGATACATTTATTAGACAGTGGGCACAGTTCTTTATTATTTTTAGGGCAACTGCACATGTCGGGACTATTCGTGGTGAAAGCTGTAGACAGCGTGGATTTGTTGTGTCCATCGTTAGTCTACTTAATTTTTGGCATACAACTGTAGCTGATCTTAACTGTATTACGATTGCGAATATTTTGAGTAATGGGTGATCTGTGGGAATTTCCTCGTCAATTATCTTCAAGAAAGTCTGGCCAACATTAGTGGAAACATTCTTACTATATGGTGGATTATACCATATAATTTTTCTTTTACGGTTTCGGGTTTTGTTATTAGATCCATTATACAAACGAGCTAAGCCTTATAACTGTGCTTCAAATAGCTTTAAACAAACGTAATGAGTTAGTATCAGCATGCAGTAGAACAAATAGTCCATCAGGACTCAAAGTACAATTTTTATTAAATATAAACAAAATTTCGGCTGCATGCCGCAACCTTCGCCAGAACAAACTATGTCCTAAGTACAGAATAATGTGTCTATAAATACTCACTAACATGAATATAGCCTATAACAAGCAATGCATAAATTAATAATACCTATATTGTTGAATAAAATCATGGCTCCTATTCCAATCCATAACGTTAGTAATAAAGTACCTATTTTATTAAAAAATGCTCTCGATTCCTAACATTGTCTTGGTGTTGACCAATCAACATAAATTCAAGATTTAAATGATCCCCACCATGATTAGGGTGAGGGTTGTGGGTTATGGGTTAGTGTTAGGGATTGGGTGCCTGGAATTTTTCACATTGATAAATTCGAACTGGTTTAACAATTTACTCATATAGTAAATTCAAATGTGGAGCTCATGCTGTTAAAAATAGGGTTACTGCCTGCGGAGAAAAAATTAAAGAATCACTTGACACATATGCATGATTACGGACTTGTTTGTCAATGGCAACATGGTTTAGGTAATTGATCGAAGCACTATATATGATGTATTTCCAGATGTATTTTAGGAAACGTCACGAACTTCCGTGTATTTAGATTAAAACAGACAAAAGTTATCACCTTTCAAATTTGCCGCGGGCACTCCCCACCCCACCCCACCCCCCCCCCATTCTGAATAGGGTTAAAATAAGCAGATCTCTATACGTGTTTAAAATAATTTTGCCTCACGAACTATGTTATAACAATGGTTTGTCGTCCTTTACGTAACAGCGAGATATTTATATTGTAGACTAAAGGCTGTATAAAAATAGGTACGTTGTTGCGTACATGGCGTCTACTGGTCGTTTGATATTAGAATCACACTATAAGATGTTTCAATGTGGATAAAATGCATAAAATTGCCATTTTATTAGAATATATATGGGCTATTTCATATCACATATAGTAGCTAAGGATGTGCTAGAACTTTACTCATTTGGTAAACAAGCAACATTTGCAGTTGGTTGGCTTAACTGGCGATTAATTGCACAACATATTATAATGTATTGGTCTAGTCTATCTTCCCATCCATCACGGCACATTATGTACAATTCCCGGAGTCATATCAGAAAAGCGCTACAAAGTCCTACATATTATATGTTTCCTCAGACCAATGAAATGATTACAAATGCTGAACTCCAGGCCACACAAACACAGTGATTTATTGGTTCAACAATCGTTGCTTGTAAGCTCTTAATACTCAAGGATTTTCCAAATATATATATATAATATTTCAGACAAGGAAGATTTCCTTGGCAGGCCGCGTTGTTCAATAAGGAAACTATTGCAGTCGTCTGCACTTTTGAACAGAAAATATTAGCACGTATAGTAGAAAAGGATTTGCACTGGTGAACGGTGATACAAAAATAATAAATAAGGATTGTAGTATGGATTGTATCGAATCAATCACAAAATACTGGCTTCTGTTCATAAATTTAATCATACTACCCATATTCCCAAACTCTAAATTTTAAAAATTATTCTCTAAAATTAACCTAATAGTTTATGTCGACTGCAAAACATTTCCAACTGAGAGAAATATCTGGTGGTAAACAAGTACTTCGATTCAATTAAACAATGTATATGCATTCGTAAACAAACTCTGTATATACATTATACAGTAGGTCAGTGGAGTACTGTCATAAAGCGATATGCGAAACAAATTTATAATTCATGACGCGAATCATCGACATCTTACCTTTGTACTGAAGAAAATACAATTGAGCTTATACTTGTAGTTTGGGATTTGAATTTTCATATGAATATTTCTAATAAATGTAGATATCAATGATTGCGACATGGTGTCATATGATCAATCCAATTATAGACGGAAACCACACGTATATCGGGAAAGGATCGAGTATGTCCTATATCGAACGTGTGGAAAGAGTGAACTATTTATGGACACAAGCATAAATAACCGTTAATTCGGAAATCACAGGAGGCCTGCTAAAAATTGTTTGCGCATAAAAATGGAATGGCTAAAACCCAATTTCGATCATTGAAATAAATATAATTCCATGGAACGCACCGTCAGATAAACTGCCTGTATTTTTTTTGTAGCCAAGACCCGCGTGTTTATATCATGATTAACAGATTGACTCCTCTTCGCGTGTTTGAAAAGTCTGGGACTGGCCTTTAAGTTTGGCTTCAACCTTTACAGGCGCTAGCATTCCAGTTAAATTTTATTTCAATGGTTTGAATTAGTATTAAGTTCTACCTGCGACTTTTTTGCAATAATCGCCTTTCACGGATGATTTATCACACAGATACTGATTTTATGATTGGGTGATGTCATACATGATTGATATCTTACATACTCTTTACAACGAGTTAAGTAAGAATGTTTCAAGTTTCAGAGATCGCGGATTGGATTAAATTGTGTAATATTTTGATAGTTTATAAAATACTTTATAAATAAAATTATTACATATTCTGAAGAACTTGCATTTGAGCGAACATTTTCGAACTGTGCAATTATTTTTTATACACCCTGTGTAAATATTAATTTACGAAATAAATACTATTTAGAACTGATATAAAATCCACAATAATGAAGTATTTTCTTCTTTACAGAACGAGTAATTGAAATAGGAAGCCAAGACAGAGGACTTGGCCCAGAAATACAACAGGTAGAACGCCATAAGGAAGAGACTATTGATGTGACCAGCAAAATGCAACCCGTCATGCTAGATGAGAATATTGATCTGACCGAAATTGAACTTTTTCAAGATATGCATATTACTGACCTGACTTCCGAAAACCAATACCTTCAAGAAGGTAATGCTCGTGTGACTACCGACATGAAGCAAGAAGAGGATATTAATCTTCATGCCGAAATAGAACGGCTTAAGGAAGAAAATTCTAATCTAATTGCCGAAATGCAACGCCATATAGCTGAAAACGATGACATTAAGAAAGAGAACAGCAACTTGGAAACAATCAATAAGCTCCTACAAGAAGATAACACTACTTTTCAACAAATGAACCTACCGCCGATGTTAGGTTTGCAACTTCGTGGACTACAGTTCCTTGAGATGAAACGACTAGAGCAAGAAAAAAGTAACTTGGTGAAGCAAGTTCAGGAACTTAGAGAAGAGAAGATCGAAAAAAGTAACGAAACTCGACAGCTTACAGACGACAACAGCAACACGAAAAATGAGATTTGGAAAGTGCGACAAGAAAATCACCAACTTCAACAACAGAAAAGTGAGTTCGACAACAAAAATCAGAAGCTCCAAAAAGAGAAAAGTCAGTTGGACGACGAGAACCAACAGCTCCGACAAGAGAAAGATCAGACGGACAACGAAAATCAGCAGCTCCGACAAGAAAAAGATCAGTTAGTTAACGAAAATAAGCAGCTCAGACAAGGGAAAAATCAGTTGGACAACGAAAATCTGCAGCTCCGACAAGATAAAAGTCAGTTGGACAACGACAATCAGCAGCTCCGACAAGATAAAAGTCAGTTAGAAAACGACATTCAGCAGCTCCGACAAGATAAAAGTCAGTTGGACAACGAAAATCAGCAGCTCCACCGAGAAACTGCTGAAATAAGCATTGAATTGCGGAAGATTCGACAAGAAAACAACAACATGCAAATCGAAATTGGTCAATACAGGGCAGACACCATGCCTAGCATTATTACAGAAAGTGGTTCTGTAGTAGTTTCAAATGATTTGCTGGGAAAAGGTGCCTGGGGTGCTGTTTGGGCGGGAGATTTTTTCGGAACTAAAGTGGCAGTTAAAGAATATTACGAAATTATATTGTCTCCACATAACTTGAATTTACTTCAGCGTGAAATAAATATCGCGTCATATTGTCGGCATCCCAATTTACTACAGTTTATTTGTGCAACGAAAAATCATCAAAATCATCTATTAATTGTAACTGAACTGATGGACAAGGCATTGCGTGCATTGGTTGAGCAACATGCAAGCGAAAGATCGCGGTTGGAGTATCAGGAGATTAAATTAATTTCCGTAGACGTGGCACGTGGCCTGAACTACCTTCATTCAAAAAAACCCAAACCAATTATCCATCGTGATATTAGCAGTGCCAACGTATTGCTATCGACTGAAAATGGTGCAGTAAGAAGGGCGAAAATATCGGATTATGGTTCAGCTAAATTCATGGAAAAATGCAATACAGCAAATCCAGGATCAGCAATTTACGCCGCACCTGAAGCTAATCAAGCAAAACAAGATCCTAAGGTAAATTTAATGGGAAATATTTACATGGGTCAGTAAGGAAATAGCACAATTTTTACTTTCAAATAGGAAAAAGTAATGCATTCTTTTGAATTTATCTTGTTAACACCTGAGCTGAATGGGGATTAGCCCAAACCGATTTTTGTAATGCAAAAATTGTAGCCTATATTGCTAAATGCAATGTTTGTCCCAACTAATTCCATGAAAATGGCAATTACAATGGAAAAAAGATCAGTTCCTTACATCCTTATCATTTCCATTTGAGATTCGTACATTCCAGTTAATCGGTGCAAAGTTGCTCAGTAAGGTTTAATTAACTTACCAGAACAATTTGATGGAAGTCGCCTTTATCTAGTGAAAAATACATGCATGCGGCAAAACTCGCCTTGTTGACAACACCATTATATTTTCCGACAATGAAATAAATAAAGTAGTTGTTATGGAAACACAATAATTTTATTATGAACATTTTTATAATTGAAAAATCCTCTAAAAATACCACTTTTAATTAACTAAAAAATTGTCAATTTCCCAAACATAAATATTTCAGGTATGTTATATCCAGGGCGAAGGGAGAGAGGGCGTAGAAACGGCCATACATCGAGCGAACACATCCGTGATGCGGGCTTCGCGGGGGGTAAGACGTTCTAATTGTAAACAAATATGGCTACGCGTATATGACCCATCAGAAGGTATGCTGAAACTATTGCTTTATAAAATATTACTTGTGTAAATTTATATGTTTTTGTTACTTTCAGCTATTATAAGAAACTTAAAGATAAGCTTTAAGTAAGAAAAAACTTTATTTCGGGTGTTATTTTATTTATATACTCTGTTTAATTTGGTGGTTAAAAATGCCCGTCGAAATGTTGTCCAAGAGTGCTAGCGCGCACTGCTTCCTGATAAAAACCCAATGATTTCCAAAACCTAAATTATAATTTGTTATTAAGTTATGATGAAAACCTTTGCGTATACGAAATTATAGAGTGAGCAAACATGAGACAGATAGGTTTTGAACCTTTCAAAGTTCGAGGTCGAATTGACAGTTGAAATAGTACCAAACTCCAAGCTGAA